GAAGGGGGAGGGGAGAGGGGTGGGGGGGGAATGACCTGGATTAGGGCCGCCTCCCCGTCGCGCTGCCTTGCTCCGCTGCCGCGCCGGTCCTCTGCAAGCCACCTCACTCTGCCCGCTTCTCCTGTGGTCTCTCTCTCTCTCTCTCTCTTGGAGCTCTAGCTAGGTTCGCCAGGGTGTCCGGTGGTCTGTGGGGGGTTTATCTCCCCACGGAGTACCCCGGACTCACCAGGTATATGGGCCTGAGGGATTTGTAAATTATTTGGGAATGTCCGTGTAGTTGAGTAGGAGGAATGTAGGTAGATGCTTGAAGATTGTCAATTTTGTCTGTATATTATCGGAATCGGAGTCTGTGTCGTAAGGGTGAATCCACATTCTGTTGTCTCGGTCTGAGCAAAACGAGGGGCTGAATTTCCAGAAATAGGAACAGCAGGGGGCACGGAAAAACGGGTGTCATTTTCCCAGTTTGTGTGAGTCTGAACTATAAGAATAAGTTCGCAGTTCGTTTTTTGGTCTGAGAGAACGACGGGATTAGCTTCCAGAAATAGGACCAACGGGAGCATGGGAAGGCGGGACCGGGTCCCGCTGTGGATTTGAAGGGAGAGAACAGTATCGGATTCGCAGCGGCGCTGAAAGGATCTCGGGCAGGCAGAAGGAAAAAAAGTTCAGCTTCCTGAAATTAGGAAAGGATTAGAGAAGGCGAGAATACGGAGTAGAGGTAGGCGGAGCTAGCGAGCTATTATGGGAAGGACCGGACGTCGGGGGAAGGAATGCAGGGTTAGGGAAGTGGAAGGCGATAGGTAGCATCGGTTGAAGGAGAGGCAGAGTGAGTCTATCAAAAACATGGGAGGAGAACGCGCGGGACGGATAGCTACAGCAGAGACGCAGAAGATCATCCACGGGATACTGATCGGAAGAAAGCTGAAGGTAAGTAAGGAGTGTGAAATGGTTGGGGAGATCGAAGCGAAGGGGGTTTGGAGCAGGAGAAAGTGTGGGAGGGAGATAAGGCAGGAGGGAGGGAGAGAAAACGGTCTCGGAGGAAGTAAGAGGAAGGAGGTAAATGAAAGAAAGAGAAAAAAGAAAATAATAAAGAGAAAGGAGGGAAAGGCTGTGGAGAGCGGGAGGGAAAACCAAGGGACGAGTGCAGAATGTAGCAAGATAGGAGTAGGTTGTGATAGGAGTAGAGTAGTGGGAAGGGAACTCGGCGTCGAAGGGAAGGATAGTCTGATCAAAGATGCGCACGGAACATATAAAAGGGACGGTGGTTCGATAGTAGGAGCATCTCGGTTCGCTTTTTAGAGTGTATGTTTTTTTGCCTCCGGATTATCCGCTGTGTACGCGAGCGGTGAAACGCGTAGGGGCATGGCGAATGGTTATGAATTTCGGAGTATTAACGAAGACATGAATCGGGTGTTTTTTGTCTTTATGGTCGGGAACTTGCTGTATGCATCTGTGGGATCTCTTCATCACTTCTTCACATATCCTTTTATTATTCTCTTATTCTCAATGAGAGTGGTAACCGGTTGTGGATGGCATTTCGCGGTGGCTACGTAGTATACATAGTTTTTCACGGCGGAAGAGCTCGGAGTGTGAGCGTCTACGAGTTTGGTCTTCTCTCCGCGGGACTTCGAAAGGTGAGCGTGAACGTCTCGTCCTGGCCGAGTCCGGAGAGAATACGGGCATCGTGGGAAAGTACTTGGTCAGGGTGAGAAAAGTGATCAGTAAGAGTATCGTGGTGATTGTCGGGTAATAGTGGTTTCGACCATCTATGGACTAAAGAGGGCGAGTAGAGGGAAAGGATGGATTATTGAGGTGCGCATCTATGTGAAATACAAACGTGAGGTAGAATGACCGATAGGAATTTCAGGGAAGCCGAGTTAGATAGACAGTGGCAGGGGATAGAGAATCTGGTATACGATCGGGTTATTCCTATGATATTTGTAGCACTTGAGTTTGGCGGTGAGGATACAAAGAAGGAGTTGATTAGAGTGCTTGAGAGTTTTCTAGGTAGATTCTATAGCGTTGGGTGCTTAGTGATCGGGAATGGAATAGTAGTTGGGGAAGGGAATCAACCAAATAGTGTGACATGTCACATTTGTGGTAAGGTCGGGCGTTACGCCCGGAGCTGCTGGATGGCGGGGAATGGGAGGGGTCCTTTTATTCAGCAACCCGTTGCGAGTAGTAAACTGGAAGAGGAGAAGAGGGGAAGAGAGGAGGAGGAGAGGCGTCAGAGGGAGGAGGATTTTGGGAAGGAACAAGAGAGGATGAGAGACGCAGAGGCAAGATGAGCTAAACTGGAAGCACGCGTGATTCGCCTTCTTGCGCAACATAATAAGCCTAGTACGCAGCCGGAAAGCTCGAACGTGAAGAAGAAATCACCTAGGACGAAGGCTAGGGTACTGAGGGAGATTACGAGCTACTTAAACGAGTCAGATGATGAAAGTGAAGAAGGGAGGAGGTAGGGAAACTTGTCGAGGCGATCGAAAGGAG